TTTTTTTTTTTTTGAAAAGACAACCCAAGCCAGGTTTTCTCAACCTGTAATGTGCATCTGAATCACCTGGTGGTAGAAAAGGAGAGGAAAAGGGTCTGAGATCCTGCATTTCTAACAAGTTCCCAGGTCATGTAACGCTATGGGTTTGTGCACCATCTTTGTTGCTCTAGTTTGATGAATAGATAAGTAAAAGGCACAAAAATCAGAAAAATTAAAAATGTAAGGATGGGACAGTAGAAGAAACTTATTCTGATTTTCAAGTAAATGGATTGAGGTTATTGAATGTTTAAGAATATATAATATTCCCTAGTCTTGCAGGATCCTATCTAACCAAGGGGAAATAAAAGTTATTTTTATTAGCTCTACAAATTGTCTATTAAATACAGTCAATAGAGTGCAATGGTAAAAAGCATAGATTCTGAAGGCAGCTGGCTGAGTTCAAATTCTACCTCCATGTTTTCTAGCTGTGATGGTGTGGCAAAACTTTACTCCTTTGAACTTCCTTACCTTATTTGTGAAATGGAGACAATATAAGTTTTTACTTCTCTGGAGTGTGAGAAGATCTCTAGTTAACATATAAAAAGCCCATAGAAACACAACCTGGCAAGAGGCAAGCAGTATAGGGATACCTGCCACTTTCTGTATTACCTTTGTTTTCATAGATATTAACATGATATTAACATATCAAAAACAGAAAACACATTTTCAGCTTATTTTTCTTATAATCCTTCTGGCTTTCTGGTCAACCTGGGTTCAATCTCATTCCCTTTTCTTGCAACTTGATAAAAACCGTTCCTTTTATTCTTCATTTATCTTTCTGGGCCCACCATATTTTAAAATATTGTACCTTTACCAACTTACATTTTCTTCTCCTCTTTTTAGGTTCTCAAGTTCTCTATAATTTTGCATCTGTATCTCTCAGGATTTTCTATGACTCCATTCTTAGCAAGATCAATGGATTTAAGAGTGAATTTAACAAAGTCAAATGAACTTTTTCCTCTGGGTAAATGTATTTTTCACATTGTTAGTCATCTATTTTTTCAAATTTCTGCATTCTTTCCAAAGTAACATAAAAGAGAATTTAAAATACAAATTATATCACACATGCTATCAAAATGGCAAAAAATAAAATGAAAAGTCAAGGTCTCTGTAATCTGTGGTTCACTGAATAATCTAAATTGAGGAGCAGGTTTACAGATTGGTAAAGAGGAAGCAGGTAGGTATTGCAGGCATATCAGATGACATCAACAAAGCCCAGGATGAGCAGCTGACTAGGAAAGGAGGCATGGAAACCAGTTTGAGAAAAAAGAAGAGGCATTTGATATTAGGATGTTAGAAAAGACGGGACTGATAGATAATATGGTCGAATCTGATGACTTTGTATTATGTCAGCTTGAAAAGGCTGCCACTATTATCTCAGCATCTTTTATAATTTCAGTTTAGAGGTGACCCAAAGGAAAATTTGCATGAAATTTGGAAGATAGATATGAGTCAGTAGCCTTAAAGATTAGAGAGAGAGTGGAAGAAAGAGGGGTCAGTGAATCCCACTCCACGCTGCCTCCGGCTCTTCTTCCAGCTGTCAGCTCTGCCAATCAACAGGCACATCAGGCCCATCATCTGGTGCAGAGCCTTCAGTGAGCTTCTCCCTGTGTTCTCACTTGTGGTTTCACCTTGATGGGGAAGCAACAGACATCAAGAGGCTGCAGAGGGCTTCTGCCACACTTCAGCTCAGCTTCCCGACTATCACTTCCCCACCCTACTCGCCCAGTCATTCAAGTCTCATTCTTCCTGTGAATAGTTCACCTTTCTATACAAGCAATGGTTCCGCTGCTTCCCTGATTGGCCCTGACTGCCACCAGATCTTAAATTTAGATAATAATTGAATGTTAAAGGTTCTCCTGCAGACAGTGACATGATAAAAGTGTTCCTCCCGAGGGACCTAATTCCAACAGTGGTTTCACTCTGATTTCATCCTGGATGGTGAGAGTTATCGATTTAAAGCAGGGAGGGGACCAGATGGAATATTCTAGTAAGGGAAGTGGGAGCTACTTAGAGCCCCAGAATGAAGAGGCAAATAAACTATCCTCACCACTTTCAGGTATTAATTCTGATGTTCTTCTTTAGAGTCTTCTTGGTACGAAACAGTCCTGGGCACACAGTAGAAACAGGTCAAAAGTTTGCAATGTTTGAGAATGAATTACTTTCATAAAAGATGAGTTGCATCTTTCATTAATTAACAAATTAAAACAAAATACTTCTTAATTTCTACTAAAATGTAAGCTCCATAAGATACGTAATTTGGTGGTTTAACTTTCTATTGCTATACTTTCAATGCTTAGAACAGTGCCTGACACATACTAGGGTCCAAATAAATAGATATTGCATGAATTCACCTGTGGTTGATGTCAGTGGACATCACGAACCCTTTCTTAAATAGAAAACGTAAAACGTTCATTCCGTTGCACTGCTCATTTCAGAAGAAAGTTTATAAAATCGTCGTGGGTGGGGTGCTTCAGAGCCACATAAATATCTCTACAGATGTAATCTACCAATTAAACTTAGAACTTTAGAGTGCAGAATCGTATAGAAAATGATTTGTTGGAAAAGTTTATGTTCATCATCTAAAAATAAGGTATTTGTTAAAAATATTTCTGTCATGGTGTTCTTTATTGTTGTTGCTTTTTTTTTTCTGGGCAAGAAATGATGATCTTGAGAGGTTTTTTCCCACCATTCAGGAAAATCATTTTTTGGCTATAAATATTAATGGATTTAGTAATAAATTACACACTTGAATGGCATTTTATTACTTAAAACTAAAATATTAAAAACCTTATTTGAAATGCACAGAGAAATCATGTAATTTAAATCACCTTAGACTTGGAAATGGACTGCAAACCACTGCTTAGAAAGAAGTATAAATCTTAAAATATGTATTTTGGTAATGGGCCAACATTGCACAAAATCATCTAAAAAGAAAGTGGACAGGTCCTATAGTCTAGTATAGTTTTCCTCAGATAAGCAAACTCTTTTTATTTGCTTCCTTGGGTTATTCTTTAAAATTAATAACATAAGCACTGAAGTCAGAATTGGTAAGGACTAATTTTTTTGACCATTAAAGTAGGATTTTCTTCTCTGGGAAAATGAATTTACTCATGATATTATAAGCCAAGAGTGTAATCTTCTCAAAAATAAATCCTACAGATTGGCCACATGAAATATATACTCAAAAGTATGTCTCCAAATCATATTTCTCCTTTTGAGAAATTTGGAATTAATAATTTAAGCCTTGATACTAATTTATTTCTGAAATGTATAATACATGAATTCCTCAGATTAATTCTATCTAATCATTTTAGGAATAGGAATAATAATTTTATTCAGGAATCAATCATTATCATTATGCTTTCCCCCAATATTTACCATGACTAGGGCATAAAATACTGTCCTTATTGTCAATAATTTTGCTCCACATTCCACAGTTCTAACTCACTACAAAAAATACTTGCAAAATGTGCTTAGTATAGAAGTACATTAGTCTGTTTTTTTTTTATTTAGGGTATAATAAGTTTTCAATGTGGCTACATGTCCTTCTCAGTCATTTTTCAGAGTTTATTTTTATGTCACCTCCCAATTAAGAACTTTCAGTGACTCTGCATTGTACATAAAACCTGGATTCTGTCACATGATAGGCCTGACAATCTAAGCTATCCTATGCCATATTTTTCAGGGTCTCCTTTCTCTTGATCAGGCCACGATATACCATCCACATGAAACTTTCTACTGCTGATGAAGATGAATCAATTCTACACTGCCAAAGTGCCTGTCAAAGATGAAGGAAACTTCTAGAATGTTCTCGACTGCCACCATTAACTTCTGCCATTCTTGAAGGATGAACCAAGAATAGCCCCCAGTTTTACAAAATGTCCTCATCTTTAGGGAAAGAACTTGTTCACTCAACTTCATGATTTGCATCTCTTTTTGCAAACTTTTATTAGAATTCCCTGTACATTTCACTCTGTCTTGCCTGCCAGGCTGTAAGACTTTGGTGAAGAGGGATCTTACCTTATTCATATTTGCATTTAGCATATAAATACCTAAATGCTCCATTAATGATTATGAAGGAAATTAAAGCAAATCAAACTGAATTGAAATGGGGAGCCAGCAGTAGTACTACCTCAGTAGTAGTGGGGATAGAAATGCACCTTCAGACCAAGTTTTCTAAGGCAGCCACAAAGCAATAAGCAAGTGTGTTTTTCACTGAGGTCAGAGATCTCTGTTGGTAGGGAGATCACTGTAGGGAGTACATAAAAAGAAAAACACCTTTAAGAATCCTCAAAACAATAAATTGTCTCCTTAAAGGAAAGGTGAAGAGAGCAAAATTTGACCCTGTGATTTAATTACTTAACACTTAAATCTTCAAAGCAACTATTCAAAGGGAACATTACATTAAAACAAAACAAAACAAAAAAACACCTGAGACCTAAAGTCACACACAAGTGAGCAGCAGAATGAAGATACAAACTCACATCTGTCAGGCTCCAGGTTTTTTGCTCTTGAACACATACCCTTGTTTCAGTCCCTGCAAGTCTTACTATTCACACTTTAAAAGCCTGCATTTCTATGATTATAATTAAAAAGTATGTATAAGCTGCAGAATTGACTCACAGTCCCACTACCTGGAGATAACCAAGTAAATTTTACCATCCATTTTCTATGAGAAGAAATAAATACAAAACATATTTTCCTAATATTAGATCACTCTGTATATGTAACATGGACGAATAAATTTTCCACTTTATATACTTTCTATGTCCGACATTCATGTAACACATAAGGTTTTTGCTACATAATATTTCAATTACCTGTATGAAGTAACTATTGTTAATTTTACATATCCTGCATCGTTAGACATTTCAATAGTTTAATACTTTTTATGACTATATATAAATTTTTATTAAATATCCTGTGCATAAATATCTTTGTGCATCTCAAATTATTTTATTTGGTGTCCAACTTTCAGATTTCATAGGAAAGGAGAAAATTGGCACAAAAAAGTCAAATTGTATCTCATTTCACACTTTCGGGAGTTAATGGACTCTAGACCTTGCAAACCATTTAATGTAGGATTTCTCAACTTCAAGCCGTGTTAACATTTGGAACCTAGCATTTGGAACCAGATAACTCCTCATTGTGTGTCTGGGGGAGGGGAGTTGCTCTGTGCATGGTAAGTGATTAAGGAACATTCTTGACCTCTATCCCTAGAAGCTAATAATAGTCCCCATGTGCCCACTCCAGACAATAAAAAATGTCCCCAGATATTGTCAAATGCCCTGGGTGGGTTAAAGAAGGATTAGGTAACAATGATCAGACCCTACCCTCAATGCCCCACTAAAAAACTGCTGGTCTATGACTATAGACCAAGACCCACAATATTCATCTGCTTTTCCACTGACCTGATTTTGGAGGGAGAAGGAAATATCACTGATCAAACATATCTCATTTCAAAAAAAACTGGTGGGGATACATAAAAGAGTATAACAAGTATTTTGCATTATATTAGGCCATGAAATTATTCAACTTCAAGAAAATATAACAAACATTTCTAATACCAAGACAACATCCAAATATGTATAGAAAACAAGTATTGGTTTTGTGCCAAGAATGACAAAACTGTATGTATAAAAGACAGTCTTTTAATAGCCTGCAATATAAGACACTTCACAGTAACCAGTTGAAAAATGAAGATAAAGCCTTGAATAGAGACAGATTGATATATAAAGAAAAAGAAGGAGTAGAGGTTAATGAATTATTTCTAAATCAATATAATGTAATAAAATTCTCTCTTCTGTGAAAATGGGAAATTTGCATTTATGCCCAGTGAAATATAGATGAACAGTGATTGTGCTTATTACACCTGTCACAGTGAAAAAAAATCAGGGCACATTATCTACTAGTTACATTTCTTCAAAACTGATTAACCTTAATACATTTTTCCCTTCACTGATCTTACAGAGTTTACTGAATATAGCGTGTCTTGATTAAAATTGCCCACATCTTAATTCAAGTCATCCCTTTCTCTAACTCGTATATCTTTGATCATTTCTTTAAATTAACTGTTTAACTAATGGGAATAATGCAATTTCTTGGTCATGATATATTTAAAAACTCAAATAGGAAGTCCCTCAAAATGAATGTTTCAAGAAAATGAAAAAGTATTATTAAAACAACAATGCTTTTCCTAATTCTTTGTGTTTAGGATAAAAACTATTTAAAGGTAAAATAGAGGTCTTTATAAAGAATCAGAGATAAATTTTCCTGATGTTCAAAAGTACTATGTGTTTGTCGTTTGCAGATAATCCATTCTGCCTCCTCCCATTCTGACATTTTGAAAATTCTATTATGTGGCACACAGTGTTTGAATAAATATTTTGTTGTTAACTTAGTGTGTTTTTGTTATTTGCCTACCTAGCAACTGATCAAATTTCTCAAATCACATGATCTGATTTTATCATTAAGAAAACCAAAAACACATAATTATCCATCTGTTAGTCCACAGTTTGTGAAGAAAATTGACATCTCCTTTCTTTTCATTAGGTCAGATCTATTTACTATTATGGCCAAATTTGCACAACTGAAATATTTGAGGATTCTACTTCATCATAAGTCTATGTGGTACTATGAAAAGTAAAACCATGGGGCCAAAGGAGGTAGGTGAGGTGCCACAAGTGAGATGAGGGAACCTTTTAATCTGATTAGTTCACTACAATAGTGACTTCTCAACACACTGGTTATCTTTTGCAAATGGTGAAATTTGATTATTAAATGTGGAAGGGGGCTGGGGTTGTGGCTCAGAGGTAGAATGCTCACCTAGCATGCGTGAGGCACTGGGTTCAATCCTCAGCACCACATAAAAACAAAATAAAGGTATTGTGTTCACCTACAACTAAAAAATAAATGTTTAAAAAAATTTTAAAAATGTGGAAAGTATTTATCATAATTAAAATTTCTTGAAAAATATTCCATTGAAATGATGTTCAAATCTTGCTCTATAAAACCAGCACTTATGCATGTAGTGAATAATCTCTTAGGCCTGCTTTTTGTGACATTTTTACAGAATAAATTTATTTCCTGTGCTTTTACACCTAAGGTATGATATAAAAATAAAGCCATGTCCTGGTCACTTTAATTTCTAATGGCCAACTCATTATTTAACTCAAATCCAGTCTAAGGTGTCTTGAAGTACACAATCATTACAGCCTGCCACCTCATGCCCACAGATACACCACACCAGTCCCAGGGTTTGACTGCTTTTTGCTATGGCTCTTTCCAAAGCAAACAATGATATAAGCTTAAGAGAAATGAAAATATTAATGTATTGAAACAGGACTGAAGTAGTAAATATTCTGTTTAGATGAACAAATAATAACTTGTCCTTATTAAGTCAGTCATACATAATATAATTGACTACACATAATATGCAGACGGTTTTTTTAGAAGAAAATTACTCCTTCCAAGTTTCTTTTAATATATAGTAAAAAAAAAGAAAGAAAGAAAGAAAAACATCTTGCCATATTCTCTCTCTCTCTCTCTCTCTCTCTCTCTCTCTCTCTCTCTCTCTCTCACACACACACACACACACACACACACACACACACCTCAATTAACGGGGCTGCTTTAAAGTATGACAAATAGTCCCATTTTTACAACACACTGAAGTAGTCAAACCTGAGTTCTTAAAATATCTTTAAATTTTTCTTAAGTTAATTTAAAACATAAGAGACTATAAGGGGGAACACACATTATAAGGTGATGAATGCTTCTGTCTTTTATGAGAGAAATTCTACTAGGAATAAGTAAGAATAAGCACAAACCTAGTTGTTTTTAGAACCTGCTGAGATTCAGTTCCTCTGCAGCAGATCCAAGAAAAGTGTGAGACAGAATAAATGTCCTATTTTCTTTCTCAAGCCTGGAGATTACTTTGGTTGAATAGGTGACTTCATCATTTTCTTGCACTGTTTGTAATTCTGGGACAATTGCCAATGACACGTTTTTCTCAACTATTCCAAGGCATCAATTCAAACTTGTTTACACAAAAATTGCCAGGAAAAATATTAAGCTACAATATAGCCTTACTCTCTCCCTTTGGTCAGTACTACCTATCAGAATGTGTTAAGATTTTTTTTTCCTGTGGCAATTAATAGGAAATTGCCAACATCCATCATTTTTAATGCATGTGATATTCACACCCATCAGGGAAATATGTGAGAGACAAATACCCAGGTTGCTTAAAGGTATTCTCAAGGTCAATTCTCAAAGATCTACCAGAAACATTTGCAGGCAGTTAAAATTGCTTATAATTTGTCAGTAATCTTTTATGGCATTTTTCAGTAGATAAGTTACTTTGTAATTTGAAATGGCCAACAGAAGTTTGGACTCAAAAATATGGACTTGGAGTAGTATAAATGAAAAAGAACACATTTGTCCCAAGGCAAGATGGTAGCAGGCAACCATCTTGCCTCATCCCTCTTTCCACCAGAGGGATTGATATACCTCTTTGACTTACCACAAGATCACCTAAAAATAAACCTTGTGCTTATTTTTATTTATATAGGAAAAACACAATGTGGAATTATAAATAATAGATCATCTTTGAATGTTTTCAGGAAAGATTTAGCAATTCAACAGAACTACAAGGCAAATTTCAGAACCCTAGATATTTCTAAATTGGATATCCACCCAGTTTTCCAACTGATTTTGAAGATCTTGCTATGTTTCTTACATGAGAATCATTATCCCTAAGTACAGAAACCATGAATAAAAATGAAAATAAAACTTAAAATTCAGGACAAAATAGCATCCTCCTGTGAGAAACTAGGGAACAACTTAACAATTTAACAGCATAGACCTAAAAAGAAAATAAAGGTCCCTCATCTTTTGGTCTAAAAGAGAGAGGGAAACTATGGATTAAATCCCCAAGGAAGTCACTTGAAAGGAAAGAGCACGCATTAATGCTGTCATACAATTTTAAAATAGCACCAGATTAAAAAGAACCGCCGGGTACTTTTCATGCTTATTTTTTCCATGAAGAAAAATTGCTTAGCTCTGGTAGGGCAGATCAGATGATTTCAGAAACCACATCCTCATTACTCAGAAGCAGATTCCACCTGTCAGTATTTCAGAATTATTAGTTCTGTCCCCAATTTCTTCCCTTGAAACCACTACATTTGTTCTCAGTGGTCCAGTGGCCACCACTGATGGTAATCAGGCCCCAAATTTTCATAACCAGAGTGATGTTTAACATGAAGTAGGTCAGACAGGAGAGGGAAAATTGTAACTGGGGAGTGGGTCAGTGTGTGCTAGAAATACTAAACACATGCACATATGTTGACCTTTTTTTGTTTGAAAACTGTCTATTCAGTTAGAGATGGAAATAATTGACTGGTTACCCTCTTCTAATTTTTTAATGATATGTTTTCACCGTTGGTGAATACTTACCCATTTTAATATTTCCATAGCAGTTCACAACCCTAGAATTAAACACTTCTTGCCTTCTCTCCCATTGGTGGCAGAAGTGACTTATTTCATCCGAGGTGGTAGAGGGGCTGTTGTCCTTTTTTTTGATGCGATCATGGGGGTGTTGTTTCTTGATGGCAACATTTTTTTTCTTCTTCTTCTTCTTCAGGTGGACTCAAACACAAGACCTCTCTCATCGCCCTTACTTGGAAGAAAGGCAGAGAGAGTCAAGATCTTGTAGCTTCTTGACCTGTGACAATGTCACTTGTTTCGGGGTACATAAGAAGGTTCTCTTTCCTTAGGTTAGGCTTATACTTACATTGGTACTCTAT